GCCTCACCAAAGGCACCTCTGAATTGGAATCAGGGCTCCTGCAGCATCAACGATAAATGGTTAATCGCTGGTGAGAAAATTTGGAAACTACAGAAAAATAAAGATGGGTGGGCACTACTGTTAACATTTTGGTTTTCTAAGAACATACATTTAACAAAAAAGACACTGTGCTAGCCTGGTGCTTTGTGATTTTTTTTTTTTTAGCGCCTCGCCCATTAGCCTATCATGGACCTGCCCCCTTATTGCTGCAGTTTCCTTTCCTGCCAGGCTGTTTTCATGGCTCTGAGACTTCACTGTCCGATACAGCAGTCACCAGTGAGTTAAAATTAAATCCACTGAAATGAAATCAAACGGAACACTCGGTCTAGCTGCGCGCTACACTGGACAGCACAGAAGGTTTTCATCCCCGCAGAGAGGCCTAAACACAGACCGCTCTAAGGAATCAGCTCTACTCTGTGGTCGTGCCTCTGCGTTCTGTTTCCAGGTTCACCGTCGTGATGGTGTTTTGTGTAAGCGCCCTGCTAAATCCAAGTTCCTTGGGGCGGTGATTTTGCTCCCTGCTACCCCTCAGCAGGCAGCACAAAGCCTGGCCCCCAGCAGGTGAAACCCTATCCCCGCAGGGGCACATCTGCACGCACCTATGACCATTTCCTTAGAATACATTCTGCTTTCACAGATTAAAGGATATGCCTGTTCCACAGCTTTCACGACACGCTATAAAACCGCAAAGGCCATACCACAATCTACTCCCAAGTCTGAAGGCCCGTGGCCCTCAGCAATGCTGGGTTACTAAGGCAACGGTCTTTAGAGGCCCCAGAAGAAAAGAACTAACCGAGTAAAAGGAATATGAAACCCTACTCGGTTGTCAATTCCTCACTCAGCCCTTCCTTCATGTGCGCCCTCCACAAATCTGCGTATCGCCTACAGAGCACCAGGCATGTTCTGGTGCTGGCTGCATCGAGGTGCTCACAGCGAGCTCCAGGAGCTCCAGCATTACCTGTGCGGTGACTAGGCTAAAGGTGGGTCTCACTCTGATAACTCAGGAGACACTGAAATGGCCCAAATTCATCCAAACATGCCACACAAGAGAGCACTTCTGGCAGAGGCCCCCAGTCCATGGCCAGGGAGCTGCCACCCAGCCATGGGTTCCTGATAAGGAGAGTCACTTTCCACCCTGGGGCCAGTCAGCCAGGCCCCAGGACTAGAGCAAATGGAAGGGAAACGGGATAGGATTTACCTTGGTTGGAATCTTCGAACTACATAGCCCAGTCTCTTCAAGTGGCTAAAGACCTCGAAAGAAAAAACAAGTGAATGTCAGACACCCACCTTTGAAAACACCCAATGGTTTCTCTAGACAGAAGCCATTCCCCATATCCCCCCTGCACAGCCCAGATTCCAAAGACTGACTGGACCACACTATTATAAACACCCACACACACACAAACAGCTAAGGTCTCAGTCTCTAAGTTCCTGCCTCTTGCTTACCTAACTGTGGGCGCAAATGACACTTGGTAGTTTTGGGGTTTAAACACAATCCCAAACAGTTGGTGATGGGCCAGAGAAAGACTAGGCCCCAGTATTTTGATACAAAGGCTGATAAAAATGAAGCCCCTGGCTACAATCTTGACAAGATGAGAGGTGATGGACATTCCCCCATCTCCATTGGCCGTGGCTGTATCGATTACTCGCGGGGCACCAGCAGGAATGTCCCGATCTCTCTGCAGCTGTCAACACAGCTCACCCTTTCTTCCTGAAAAGACCTTCTTCGGGCTTCTGGAATGCCACCTCCCCCTTTTCTCCTTCCTTGCTAGTCACTCCTCCATCTCTATTTCTAGTTCCTTATCTCCCCTCTGACTCCCTCCTGTGGAGTTTCCCAGGCCTCAGAGGAAGCTGGCCCCTGGGCCACTGCCCCATGGTGTTAAATACCATTCCTAGGCTCACGACATCCATGTTTATGTCTCAAGCCTCGAGGACCCCCCACATTCTAGGCTTATTTGCCCAACTGTCTTCATGACAGCCTCACTTGGCTGTTCAAGCCCCTCAAAATGAGCCTTTTGTAAGTGCCATGGGAACATAGCCCTCCTCTGTCTCAGGTTCCCCTTACGAGGCTCTTTTTTTTTTTTAATAAGTTTTTTTTTTTTTTTTTAAGATTTATTTATACAAGCACTGGGTACAGTCAGAAGCGCGGGAGGGTGAGAGAATTCACCAGAGCCAGAGCGGGGAGCAGAGCAGGCAGAAGGACCGAAGTACACTGCTGAGGGGAGCAGCGGGTGGCAGGAGAGGTCTGCACGCCATGTGGGACCCTCCTCCGGTGGTGGGGGAGCAGCTGGGGATCGAACCGGCGCTGCAGAGGCTGCAGGCAGCTTCGCAACCCAGCGCTCAACCGTTGCGCCACTGGGGAGGCCCCCCCTTACGAGGCTCTGCGGCTAGTTCCTCATAGGTACTTGTAAATACTCATTGACTCTGGCCGGTGGCTCGGCTTCTGGAAAGGGTGGCAGATACCTGGTACTGCAAGAAAGTCACGGTGTCCTCGGCCAGCAGCAGCTGGTAGGCCTCCTGGACAGACAGTGGAAGGTCTTGGTGGAATAGCTGGATACAGCCCTGTAAGGGGAGTCAACAGCTCAGCTGTGCACACTCCTTGCCCTGATTTAGCCAGTGGGACAACTTCCCAGCTCCCGCACCTGCCGCCCCCCGCCCCCCCACCCCCAGCATCAGGGGCAGAACTCAGCCCAGCAGGAAGCGGGGAGAGCAGACCACTCATGGAGGCTGGCATTCCTGCTCCCTGCATGGCATTCCCCTCTTCTGTTCCAGAAGCCGGATAACAAGCCCCCTGAACAGTCCCGCCCTTGCGGTTCCCGGGCCCGAACCCCTCCTGCACCGCGCCGGGGCCCCACTCACACACTCCAGCAGATACAGGGCCTCCTCGGGGTGAAGCCGCTGCCGGCCCTGCTCGGAGAAGCCCATGGTCTGCCAGAATTTGCCCTGCGTGGGCCAGAGCAGAAGTCACAAAGGAGCTGGGGGGGCGCGGAGAAGGCGGGCCCCTGGCCCCCAGCCCCGCCGCTCACCGCGGGCGACTTCAGCTCCACGAAGCCGTCCTCGGGGCTCCACTCCGCGGCCACCAAGCTGCCCCTGGCGAGAAGGGAGAGGCCGGCTCGCGAGGCCCCCGCAAGTTCCCGGGCCCGCCCGCCCGCCCGGCCCGCCCGCCCGCCCGGCCCGCCCGGCCCCTCACAGGCGCTCCACGCGCTCCTCCGCCAGCAGCTGCCAGAGCTCCTGGCGGCAGCGGCGCAGCCGCTCGGCCTGCGCGGCGGAGCCGTCGGGGAGGAAGTCCTTGGGGCCATGCGAGCGCTGGGGCAGCTTCTGGGACCGCGAGCGGGCGGCGAGCAGCTCCCGGGCGCTGCGGGAGAAGGGCACGCGGGTCAGCGCGCGCGGCGGGGCCGCCCGGAGCCCGCTCCCCGGCCGCGCCCCGCCGCCGGGCCCGGCCTCCCCCGCCGCGCCGCACCTGAGCAGCCGGCCGGCCGGGACCTCCACGGCCGCGGGCTCCATCGGGGCGCCGACTGCGGCTGCGCGCGCCGCCCTCGCCCCGCCCCCCGCCGGCTCCGCGCGGCCCGGGCGCCTCCCGCCCCCCGCGCCAGCCCCGCCCCCGCCAGCCCCGCCCCTCCCCGCTGTGCCTCCCTGGCTGCCCCGGGTCCTAGCGCCGGCCGCCGACCCCGCGCCCCCAAGCCCCAGCCCCGCCCCCGCCCGTGCTGGCCTCCCTGGCCGCGCGGGTCCTAGCGCCGACCGACGAGCGGGTGCCGCGATTGGGGGGGCAGAGAACTTGCCGGTTTCTGCATTTGAGGGAGTTCCCCGCTCTAGTTCGCCTCTCCCCTCCGGGCCGCGCTCTAGTAAAATTCGAGGAACTCGGCGTTTAAGATGTAATATGGGGCCTCCCTGGTAGCGCAAGGGGTTGGGACGCAACCTTTGAAGCTGTCCGCAGCCTCTGCAGCACGAGTTCGAGCCCCCACCAGGGAGATACCCACACGGCGCGGCAGACCTCTCCTCGCTCCCCGCTGTGCCACTCAGCCGTGGATTTCGGTCCATCTGCCTGTTCTGCTCCCCACTCTGCCTCTGGTGAATCCTCTCCCCCCCTGCACCTCTGGCCTGTACCCCAGCTCTTGTGTGCGCAAATAAATGAATCTTAAAAAAAAAAAAAAGAGTGTAACGTGGTCAGAGGCTCGACGCCTCCGCAGCTCCGGGCTGAGTGGGGGGCGCACAGAGGGTTACAGAAGTGAAAGCTGTGGGCCCCCGAATTCCCGCTTCGAAGACTGAAGACCACCGAGGCCGTCAGGTGCGGCCGGGGGAGACTCGGGGGTCTCGAGGCTGCCGCGGGCCGCCGTCCGGGGCCCGGCGCGGGTTCGAGGCCGGGGGCGGGCGGCGCTGTCCGGCCCACGCTAGTGCTGAAGCCCCGGCCCCGCCCGCTCCGGCTCCGCGAGGCCGGGGTCCCGCCGCGCTCCCCACGCCGTCCGCCAGGCGGCGCCACCGGCCGACAGCGTCGCGGGCCGGGCACCGGCCACCGCGGAGGCGGCCCGGCGGGACGAGGGACAAAGAGGACGGCGGCGTCCAGGGGGGCCCGGGCCTCAGCTCCCCACCCTTCGCGGCCCGTCTTCCCCCACCCGGTCGCACCCGGGCCCGCACCCCCGGGTCTGAACTCGGAGCCGCGCTCGCCCGGGACCGCGAGCCGCCCGCAGCGGCGCCCACGCGGGGCCCGCCCCGCCTCACGCCCCCTGGGCGCATGCGCCGACCCCCGGGCGGGCCGGGGCGGGGGCGGGGCGGGGCGGCGGGGGCGGGGCTCGCGCGCTGACTGACAGCCCGGCTGCGCGGTCGGGACGGTCTCTCCGCTCCCGATCCGGCGGGGGGGGGAGGGGCGGGATTTCCTGCGGGAGGCGCCGAGCCGGCCTTGGGAAAGGAGGAAAGGAGGAGAAAGGGGTTCGGGGGGGCTGCTGGGGCCGCCTTCCAGAGTGCCAGAGGCCGAGCGGGGCGCCGGACCCCCGGCGGGCGGCGGGCAGAGGTGAGACGCGGGCCCGCGGGGCCGCTCCCTGGGGCGCAAACTAACTTTTCTCGGGGGCTCGGCGGACCTTTCCGCCGCCCCGCGCCGTCGGCGCCCGCTCCCCGGTAATCCCCCTCGCGCCTTCACCCCTCGGCGCTGGGCTCCCCGGATCCCTCCCGCCGCTTTGTTCCCGGGGTGGCCTGGCCGGGGCTGGCTGGGGGTGCGCGGCTCGGGACGGGCATTCCGGGGGGCGGGGGAGCCAGTCGGACCCCAGGCACTGCCAGGGGCGCCACCCCCCGGTGTCGGCCGCGGGCCCTGAGCGGGGGTGCCCTCTGGACCGGGCTCGGGGCGTCCTGGAGTGAGGGGTCCCCAGCCAGGGCCCCGGGCCTGCTGGGTCTCCTGCCGCAGGACGCGGGCAGCGAACTTGCGGCCAGCGAGGAACTGACAGAACCTTTCCTGGGGGGAGCTGAGGGGCTGAGCCCGCGTCATCTGGGGGAGCCAGGCAGCCCCCTTTGCCCGCAGTGCCCCAGCTCCTGTCGGTGGTTCTGCCCAGCTGCTTCCCTCTCCCACAGGAGGGGTGCGGATGGGTCAGCAACAGGTGTTATAGAGCCTCTCTATCCAGCAGGCAGACACCCCCCTGCCAGAAATTGGGGGCCAGAAGCTCCCCGCTCCACCTTTAGAATTCATAAAGCGCCCCAAGGCTAGGGCATTCAGTGATTACAGTGAGGCTTAGGCAGGGAGGAGTCTGGGGGCAGGTACATTTCACAGGGAGTGACCCCTGTCCCCGCTGCCTGTGCCTGACCCTCCCCGCCCCACCTCCTGGCCCGCCAGTTGTCTGTGGGTGTCAGAGCCTGGGGCTGTGGAGAACAGGCTGCTGGCCCAGCCTGCCCTAGTGTGTCGTGCGCGGCCCCTTCTGCCCAAGGTTGAGGTGCTGCCAGGTGCCCTGGGGCCTCAGTGACTCAGCTTCCCCCTCCCAGAGCGCCACCTCCCCACTCCATGTACTGCTCTCAAGCATAGCAGCTCTCTCCCCCCCTTTGAGTGGCTCAGCCCCTCCTTTGACCCCGAAAGGGGTGGATTGGGGGCTCCCTGGAGGCTCTGTCCTGTTCTTCCTCTGAACCCCGCTGCTGGGACTCTTGCAGGCTCTGGCCCAGCCTTCCGGCAGGGGCACTGCACCTTTTCTGGGCCCCTGAGACCTGTCCACACTGCGCCTTGGGCCTGAGGAATGTTGACTGCTCTCCTCGTGGGCACTGGTGCTCCTGAGCCAAAGCCGGGAAGACAGGCAAGCCCAGCCCCGGCCCATCCTGGAGCCGTCGGAAGCTGCAAGCTGATATCCGTCCAGATTTCCACGCAACCTCCACCCCCTCAGAGATCTGCTTTCCTGCTGGTCGGGGCAGCTCACGAAGCACCTTGAAGTGTGCTCTCCTGTCAGCGCCTGACAAGGAGCCCGCTGCCTGGGGCACCAGACACACTCCCGCTGGAGACTCCTGGCCCTCCGGAGGGCCAAAGCATGGCACCGTGACACCCCATTTTAGGCCCCTCTCCCCACTTCTACTCTGGTCTCCTGAGCTCAGAGTCCAGCCCAGGGACCAGGATGGGTCGTGAGCAGGACCTGATTCTCGCTGTCAAGAATGGAGACGTGACTGGTGTGCAGAAACTGGTGGCTAAGGTCAAGGCGGCAAAGACAAGTAAGTACTTGCTGGGTGAGCTGTCCCTCTGGAACAGTCTGGAGTCCCCCAGCTACAGAAAGGCTTGGGGGGGGGGTCACTGATTTGGTGACTTGGGATGGGAGGACTATCTCGTTCTAGAAAAGAAGTGTCTCTATGAGGGTGAGCCAGAGAAGGAAGTCGGGCCCCCCTTGCTGTGTGTTCTTAGGCAAATTGCTTAACCTCTCTGGGCCTGTTGCGTCACCTATAAAGTAAAAGGGCTGAAGTACATTGATTCAAGGGTTTTCTGTTTTGTTTTGTTTGTTTTGTTTTGTGTGCCTTTTATGTGCAAGGCCCTGTTCCAAGCACTGGGTCACAGCAATGAATAAAGCTGACCAAAATTTTCGCCCTCATGGAGCTGCCTTCTAGCAGGTGGTTTTCCCTGTGTGTTCTTTGGAGCCACAGGGTTTCTGGCAGTGGGTCAGGAAAGATTGAATAGATAGAGCTCCACCCCCCTCCCTGCCCCCTTCACTTCAACCAGAACATCTCCACCTCTGTCTTGGCTTAATGGGGATGCCTGTAAGATAACTAGTTTTCTTTGTGTGTGTTTTTCCTATAAAATAACTTTCCAAGAGGAGAATTCTGCACTTAAAAAGTTCAACACTATAATGGCTTGCTGAAGCCCCTTTCTCCCTGCTAAGCTCTTCCCTGGGGGTGTGGATAAAGCTAATTTCCCGGAGCCTTCTCTGTGGCCTCATCTCTTGGACACCTCTGCAGTGAACCCCTAAGATATCAATCAGGCCTTTGGCCTCAGGGTGAGCTCTCTGGGCCATCCCAGGAGGACACTGGACTTATCACCCTGAGTTTCTAAACCAGCAGAGATGGTTCCTGCTACCAGAAGGGGATGGGGTGGGCAGGTCTTCTCTCGAGTGTGGGGTCTCGAGGCCTAAGACACATCTTGGCCCTGTGCAAAGAAAGTCCCAGGTCACCTGAAGACACCTTAATTATCCCCACCCGCACCTGGGAGTGAGGGGTGCCAGCGGAGGGATTTAAGGGCTTGGGAGCCAAGGGCTCCTCCTTGCACACCAGGGCAGGAGGTCCAGGATTTAGGGAGGACATGGAGCTGTGCCCTCGAAAGTGGATATAACACGGGCATGATGGGGAAGGTGCTAAGGAGATTCCAGGGCCCAGGTTCCTCCTCTCACCTCTGCGTTGTTCTTGGCGACCTACCCAGGGCTACTGCTGGCCTCACAGCCTTGGGGCCTCCAGGTGAGGGCACGTGGGTAGGGCCTGCAGGCTGGCAGCAGGGACTCCAAAGCCAAGGCTTGTGGGCTCCAGGAAGGTCACCTGCTCCCAAAATGAAATGTCTGGGGGAAAGAGGCCCCCCAGGAGACTTGCATGGAGTAAGGGCACAGAGTGACGGGAGCCTATGCCCTGCTACCCAGCCTGTCCTCTGAGAAGCTGGGGAAGCTGGCACCAAAAAAGATTGTCATGTGATATTCGCAGCCCTCACAGTTTTTGACACCTTGTAGTCCCCCAATTCCCTGTAACATGAATGTTTCTGTACCGTGATTTGCAGACAAGGAAACTGAGTCAGGGAGGGTTGGTTTGCCCACCTCACATAGTCGCTGTGTGGGGTTGCTGTGTGGCAGGCCAGAGCCAAGCCTGTCCCTCCTGGGCTCCCACCTCAGCTGCGTCAGAATTGCCTGGGGGTTCTGCTAGAAGTATAGGCTCCCCGTTTGCCCCAGAATTAGAACCGTCACAGAGCTAGGGGCTCTGCTGAAATTACACTGAGTCTGTGGAGATGCCAGAGCAGATCTCAGAAGGGAGACTGGGACCCTGCTCCTTCCCACAGGAAGACAAAGGGAAACTGCCCAAAGGGAGGTGTCAGGGCACCCCTCTTCCTTCTGAGGGGTGGCTTCTGACTGCCCACAGACCAGAGGAGAGGTGCTCCCTCAGCCTCCTCCATCGGAGGCCTGCTCTCTGGGGACTGCGTTCCCTGCCCACCCAGGTGGCTAGAGGGAGCAGGTGGCTGGGAGGAGGGGGTGCCATTGCCCTGGCCTTGCCCTGCTTCCCTCCCTCCCCCACTCCCTTTTCTGGACCTCCTTCTCTGGCCAGAGGAAGTGGAGTGGGCTGGGGTGGCCGCTGAGCTCACATCCTCTGGCCAGGCCTAAATCAGGAGCGACCCTTCCACCTCCAGAGCCAGCCATGGAAGAAGGTCGAGCTGCTGGGGAAGTGACGAGCCACTGCCAGGAACCCCAACCCTCCGCCAAGGTCCCTAGGTCCCCGGCCCCGTCAATCTGGGCCTCTCCCTGCCGCCTTTCCGGCCATTGTTCTGGAAAGAACAGAACCACCCAGCCTGGCCCTGCCCCTGTTCCCGTCCCTCCTGTCATGTTGTCCTGCCACGTCCCCGGGGTGTGGGGGGTGCTTCTCGGCCACGCCAGACTGTCCAGGCTGGTGGGGGGCTGGGATGGGATGCAGGACCTTCTGTGTCTCGCCCTTTCTGACCCCCTGTCCTCACTGGGGCTCAGAGTGGTTCCCTAGCTGGCCCAGGTCACACGGCCAGTAAGAGGGGAGAAAGAATTGGAACCATGCACTTCCTGCTTCTAGAACCCACTGTTCTTTCCACTGTTCTCAAGTGACAAGGACTTTCCAAGGGGGCTAGAGGAAGACTGGGGGGACCCGTGTTCCTTCCCGGAGGCCCCGCCCCTCTGCTCTTCATCACTCTTCACTCCTTGACTCTCTATTTACCTTTTTGGTGGCGCGGGATTTGGCTCAGCCCAAAATGTCGCTGTCCCTTCCCTCCCTGGCCCTTGCTCCCCACTGCCAGGTCGGTCCCTCCCTGTTGGAATGAGGTCCTCCCTTGCTGGGGTATTCAGGGGCCCACCAGGGCCTGGGGGGCAGGCCTGGGCCAGTACACTTGGCATCCTGCCAAGCCTGGGTTAAGCCAAGGCCTCCTCCTTCCCGGCAGGGGTGGGTTCCAGCAGGAGGCAGGGGCCGCCTGCATTCCCTTCCCTGCCCCTCCGCATCGCCCGTGGACTTCTGCCCGGTCCCCCGGCAGGCTCGCTTGCGGAGCCCACCTGCATAGTCTGCCCCGTCCTGGCGGGGGAAGGGAGCCGCATACTGCCTGTTCCCCAGTTCCTCTGCCACCACTCAGCAGGGCACCCCGGCCCCCCCCACCCCCGTGAGGACATCTCACCAGACCCTGCGGGGCAGGCAGCAGAGGCCCCCTGACAGGGGATATGGGATCTGTCAGCCTTTGCTGAGGGTGGCAGCTCTGGGTCGTGGCTCCAGGCAAGAGGCCCCTCGTCCAGCTCCCATCTTGTGCCCACTGATGGGCTAGGCCTGTGCCCGCCACCCTGGGGGCAGGCTCTGTGGTCGGCCCACATCTCAGAGGGGGACACCGTGCTGGAGAGGTTTAGTGACTTGCATGGTGCCAAGTGCATGGCCAAGCTGGGGCGCCATGTCTGATGCCCTCTCTTCCACCGCACTGTACTCGGGGGGTGTCATGGTGCCAGGCCCCGTGGCCAAGTCCAGCCTGGCGTCTGCCCTTCACGCTCCAGCATCTGGAGCCGCGTTCCTTTGGCTCTCGGCACCCCCAACCCAGGGAGACGATGAGACTCGCTCCGCCCGGCCCGTTCAGGCAGGAATGCAAACCATGTGCTCGTGGGGCTGTCCACTGAGCGCCCGCGTGCCAGTGCCCCCTCCCTGCCTCGCTGGCTGTATAAGCAGGCTGGGCCAGGCACCTCTGCTGAGGGCTCTTGAGCTGACGGGCCGGTGGGCCAGGCTGGGAGCCAGAAGGACAGGAAGGCTGATGGCCATGGGGCAGGTGCTGGCCTGCACACCGAGAGGTCAGCTGGACGGGTGGGGGCAGGGCACTGGATGGGAGTGCAGTGAGGGTGGGTCACCCGAGGGTGCCCTGACGCCTCCTGCTCTCACCCTCAGAGCTCCTCGGCTCCACAAAGAGACTCAACGTCAACTACCAGGATGCTGACGGGTAAGTGTGGCCCCGTCCAGGGAAGCGCTGCGGGCTCGAGGACAAGGGAGGACCTGGGGCCCAGAGTGCCCCCTGCTCTCACACTTGGTCCTTGGAGTGTGTTTGCTGACAAGCGCTCTGGGTCCCGCCTGTGTCCGGGAGGGGCGGGGGTCCCTCGCCTGCGGAGCTTCCCTGAGCAAGGGAGCGGGCCCGAGGGCCTCTCTGAGGGGCCTCCTTGGGTCAGATTCCTGCTGGGCCCCCTTTTCTCCCTGGAGGGTAGGAGCCCTCGGGCTCCTGCTCCCACGGCCCCCTCCCCTGGGCCGGCTGGAAGAGGGGGAGGCCAGACAAACAGGCCTCTCAGCCCAGACACTGAGCCCTTTCATGCCGCGCCGGCCACCCTGCGCTCCCACGGCGGGGCTAGCAGGGTGGGAGGCTGGGGGTGCAGTGAGCAAGCAGCTCATCGCTGCCAGCGCCCAGGATGGGTCCAGTATGGGAGACCAGGATTTGGGGGTGGGGGTGGCTCACTGACACCCCCACCTTCGGTACCCCCACACCAGCTTCTCTGCTCTCCACCATGCTGCCTTGGGGGGCAGCCTGGAACTCATAGCCTTGCTGCTGGAGGCTCAGGCCACTGTGGACATCAAGGACAGCAATGGTGAGACCCCAATGTGCCCCCACCTGACCCTTGGTCAGAGCTTGTTGCTGCTGCATGGTGGTGATACCCCAGAGGCCGCCCCCAGCTCCTTGGATTGGCTAATGTTTCACCTTTCGGTATCTCCTGGGGTGGTGGGTGGTGCTGACGTTTACTCCCCTGTTGAGGAGGTTCAAGGTCAGAGAGGTTGTGTGACCACCCTGAGGTCACCAGGTCACCCTTGGTGGGCACAGTGAGATTCTGGCCTCCGCCCTGCACGACTGACCTCTCCCTGACCAAACCACCCCAAGCCAGCGTAGCTTCCTCTAAAGATGTCTCCTGTCCAGCGGGGGTGACGTGGGCCTGCTCCAGGCCTCCCCACCCCACGCCAGCCCAGGGCCGCCCTCAGAAGCCCCCTCCTTCCTGCCAGGCATGCGCCCATTGCACTACGCCGCCTGGCAGGGCCGGCTGGAGCCCGTGAGGCTGCTGCTGCGGGCCTCTGCGGCCGTGAATGCCGCCTCGCTGGACGGGCAGATCCCGCTGCACCTGGCCGCCCAGTACGGGCACTACGAGGTGGTACGTGAGCCGAGGCGCTGGAATGGGGGTCTGTGCTGGCACATGGTTCATGCCCAGCCAGACCCCTCACTCAGCTTCCCCCACCCCAGTCGGAAATGCTCCTCCAGCATCAGTCCAACCCGTGCCTGGTCAACAAGGCCAAGAAGACACCCCTGGATCTGGCCTGTGAATTCGGGCGGCTCAAGGTGAGGCCTGCAGCCCTGAGGGTGCTGGGGTTGGGCACCCATGGGCCTCAGGAGGAGGCTCTAGCTGGGCGCTGGTTGCTGCAGGTGGCCCAACTGCTACTGAACAGCCACCTGTGTGTGGCGCTGCTGGAGGGTGAAGCCAAGGACCCATGTGACCCCAACTATACCACGCCCCTGCACTTGGCTGCCAAGAACGGCCACAGAGAGGTCATCAGGTACCCACCAGCACCCGCCCAGCCCCCCCTTAGCCCCTTCCTGTGGGACCGGCAGTATCCTCTGGTGTCCTGCCCTGCTGCCCTCATCACCCCGGCTCCGCGTCCATCTCCCAGCCCCCACCCGTCAGTGTCCTCCCTGTCCCCCCACCCCAGTGACTCACCCTCCCTGCCACAGACAGCTCCTGAAAGCTGGGATTGAGATCAACCGCCAGACCAAGACGGGCACGGCCCTCCACGAGGCCGCGCTGTACGGCAAGACCGAGGTGGTGCGGCTGCTCCTGGAGGTGGGTGCAGGCAGGTGTGGGCAGTGCCAGGTTCCGCATCCACTGGGGGCCTGGGAGGGTCTCCCCTCCATGCGGTGTTATGCATGGATGGTTGCTAAGCAGCTAGAGAGCAGATTCATCTGGTTCCAGCCAGACGCCTGCTTCTTGCTATCTGAGTGACCTTGAGCTGGTCCCTAACCCACCGCTGTGTTTCTATTTCCTTCTTTGTAAACTTGGAAAATACTGCCCACCTCCTGGGTCGGGGTGAGGCGGGGGTAGGGGGTGACGGGCACTGTGCTTAGTACATGCCCCGCTGTGCTCTCCCCAGGGCGGGGTGGACGTAAACATTCGGAACACCTATAACCAGACTGCGCTGGACATCGTGAACCAGTTCACCACCTCCCAGGCCAGCCGGGAAATCAAACAGCTGCTGCGGGGTGAGTGCGTGTGTGCAGAGACCCACTCCATGGGCGAGAGCGCCCTTGGGTGCCAGGAAGTGGAGCAGGAACAGATGTCCTGGAGCGGGGGACATGTCAGGGGAGGTGCTGTGGGATGGTGAGTGTCACGAAGGGGACACGAGAGGTGGACTGCGCCCTAACGACCCCCAGATGATGTCTGCCCTCCCCTCCCCTTCTCTCAGAGGCTTCGGGGATCCTGAAGGTCCGAGCACTCAAGGATTTCTGGAACCTCCATGATCCCACTGCCCTCAATGTCCGAGCGGGGGACGTCATCACGGTGAGGACCTGGTGCAGGTGTTTCTGTGCAGACACAAGTGATGCTGTCACTGACCTGGGCAGCTGCTGTGGGTCAGGTTGTGTGGTAAGGTCTTTAGGTGAGACACTGTCTAGTTGAATTCCTCCCAAATCCAGGTAAGGTAAGCGCTCTACTGTTTCCTGTTTTAGAGGTGACAAAGTTGGGGCTTAGTGGAATTAAAGTGGCCATCGAAGTTCATGCAGCTAACAGTGGGGCTGGGATTTGAACCAGTCTGGCTCTGGGCTTGTGCTTGTCAGCCCTGGAGGCACTTGGGGAATGGGGCTGGATGCTGGGTGTGGGGACAGAGCTGTGGGCTTACCTGGGCATCAGCGCCAACTTCTTCTTGGAGGCAGAAGAACTGGAGGGGAGCTGGCTGCCTGCCCTGGCCTGGTGCAGTGAGTGACCCACCTCCCCTGTCTCTGTAGGTGTTAGAGCAGCACCCCGACGGCCGCTGGAAGGGCCACATTCACGAGAGCCAGAGGGGCACGGACCGGGTGGGCTACTTCCCCCCAGGCATCGTTGAGGTTGTCAGCAAGCGGGTTGGCATCCCCACGCCACGCGTCCCCTCTGCACCTGCCCCCCTGCGCCCAGGCTTCTCCCGGACACCACAGACCCCTGCTGATGATCCCCTGCACCCTCTTACCTATGGCCAGCTCCCACGAGGGGACCTCAGCCCAGATAGCCCAGGTACATCCTCCCGGAGGGACGGGCTGGGGTGGGCGTCTGACTTTGGCAGGCTGCCAGTCAGCTGTTGGCAAGGCCACCTTGACCTCGAACCGCTTCGCTTCTTCCCCCTGCAGCAGGTGACAGGAATAGTGTGGGCAGCGAGGGCAGTGTGGGCAGCATCCGCAGTGCTGGCAGCGGGCAGAGCTCCGAGGGCACCAACGGCCATGGCACCAGCCTCCTTATTGAGAATGCCCAGGTAGGCAGAAGGGGGTGTGGCGACCAGGAGAGGGGCCTCCCTTGCTGCCAGTGCCCCCAGCAGTCAGCTCTTTCCCTCTCTCCAGCCACTGCCCTCGGCGGGAGAGGACCTGGTACTGCTGGGACTGCACCCCCCACCCCTGGCAGGTAGGAAGGGTGGAGGGAACCGGGCTTAGCAGTGGGGGGGAAGCTAGGGCTTGGCCCCCCTTCATCCCGCCACCTTTGATCCCATTTCTCTCCCTCCTTAAAGACAACCTGAGCCACCGGCCTCTGGCCAGCTACCGCTCAGGGGAGCAGCCTTTCACCCAGGACGTGAGGCCAGAGCAGCTGCTGGAGGGGAAGGTGTGCCGTGTGCGGGGCTGGGCTTTGGATCCCGTGGGGGCGGGGCCTCAGGCCGCTAGGAGGCTGGGGCAGAGGGTGGGGTGCAGCCAAAGGGTCAACCTCCGCCCTCCCCCTGCCACAGGATGCTCAGGCTATTCACAACTGGCTGAGTGAGTTCCAGCTGGAGGGCTACACCGCCCACTTTCTGCAGGCTGGTTACGACGTGCCCACCATCAGCCGCATGACGCCCGAGGTAGGGGCTGCTGCAGGAGGGCTGTGGAGGGCCCGGTGGGCAGGGCAGGGGACCTGATGGCCTGCCTCTGTGTGGCAGGACCTGACAGCCATTGGGGTGACCAAGCCGGGGCACAGGAAGAAGATCGCCTCTGAGATCGCGCAGCTCAGCATCGCCGAGTGGCTGCCCAACTACATCCCTGTGAGTGGGTGGCGGGCCCGGGGGGCCCCCGCTCAGCTGTGCTGCTCCCCTGGCTGGGGCGGAGGCGGCGGGCAGGCTCCGACGGTGGCGCTCTTGCAGGCGGACCTGCTGGAGTGGCTGTGTGCTCTGGGGCTGCCGCAGTACCACAAGCAGCTTGTGAGCGGCGGCTACGACTCCATGGGGCTGGTGGCCGACCTCACCTGGGAGGAGCTGCAGGAGATCGGCGTCAATAAGCTCGGTGAGAACTGCTCCTGCTGGGCCCCCGCATGTCTCTGAGGGGCTCCAAAATGTTTTCAGGGTGCAGGCCAAAAGGAAAGGATGGCGACAGTGGGACTAGGTGACCCTGCCCAGCCCCAGCCAACCCTGCCGCCTCTATCCGCCCCTGCAGGTCATCAGAAGAAGCTTATGCTGGGGGTGAAGAGGCTGGCGGAGCTCCGGCGAGGCCTGCTGCAGGGGGAGGCCCCCGGCGAAGGGGGTTGCCGGCCAGCCAGGGGCCCGGAACTGATGACCATTGAGGGTCTAGAGAACGGGGACGGCCCCCCTGTGGCTGGCCCACGTCTCCTCACCTTTCAGGGCAGCGAACTGAGCCCAGAACTACAGGCGGCCATGGCAGGGGGAGGCCCTGAGCCGCTCCCTCTGCCCCCTGCCCGCTCCCCCAGCCAGGAGAGCATTGGAGCACGCTCACGCGGGTCTGGGCACTCACAGGAACAGCCTGCCACGCAGCCCAGTGGTGGAGACCCCAGCTCTCCCCAGGAGAGGAATCTTCCAGAAGGCATAGAGCGGCCACCTAAACTTTGTTCCCCACTTCCTAGCCAAGGAGCCCCCCCTTATGTTTTTATGTACCCCCAGGGCTCACCCTCCAGCTCAGCCCCAGGGCCTCCTCCTGGTGCACCCCGAGCCTTCTCCTACTTGGCTGGATCCCCTGCTGCTCCTCCAGACCCGCCTCGGCCCAAGCGCCGCTCCCACAGCCTGAGCCGCCCTGGGCCAGCTGAGGGGGAAGCAGAGGGCGAGGTGGACAACGGGCCTGCAGGCAGCACCTTGGGCAGCTACGCCACCCTCACACGGCGACCTGGACGCAGCGCCCTGGCACGGACCAGCCCCAGCCCGACCCCAACCCGAGGGGCTCCTCGTAGCCAGTCCTTTGCCCTCCGGGCACGCCGCAAAGGCCCCCCGCCCCCACCCCCCAAGCGCCTCAGCTCTGTCTCTGGCCCCACCCCTGAGCCTCCACCACTAGATGCAAGCCCCGGGCCCAAGGAAGGGGCGTCGGGGCCGCGAAGGCGAACACTGAGTGAACCAGCTGGCCCATCAGAGCCCCCTGGCCCGCTGGCCCCCACGGGCCCTGCATCAGACACAGAGGATGAGGAACCAGGGCCTGAGGGGACAACCCCATCTCGGGGCAGCTCAGGGGAAGGGCTACCGTTTGCAGAGGAGGGGAACCTGACTATCAAACAGCGGCCGAAGCCAGCGGGCCCCCCACCCCGGGAGACGCCTGTGCCTGCTGGCCTCGACTTCAACCTCACAGAGTCCGACACCGTTAAGAGGAGGCCCAAGTGCCGGGAGAGGGAACCGCTGCAGACAGCTCTTCTGGCCTTTGGAGTAGCCAGTGCTACAGCTGGCCCCCCTGCGCCCCCCTCCTCCCAGACCCTCAGCGAGTCCCCCTCGGCTCCCAGCCCGCCCCGGCCTGACCCTAGTGGCCCTCCAGCTCCAGGAGCCCCAGCCCCTGTTTCTCCCAGTCCCTCAAACCAAACCCCCTTGCTCCCTTGCCCTGGGCCGGCTCTGGACAACTCAGCGGGCAGTCGGCGGCATGGGGACACTGAGGCCCCGGCTGTGCCAGCTGCCCCTGCTGCCCTCATCAAGGTGCCTGGAGCAGGTGAGGTGGGGCCTGTGGGAGAGGGCTGTGTCGGCGGGCGGACATCCAGCCCAGCTACTTCACAGGCCAACCTTTTTGTCACTGTAGGATCAGCCCCAAAGCCTGTGTCTGTGGCCTGCACCCAGCTGGCATTTTCTGGCCCTAAGCTGGCTCCCCGGCTGGGCCCCCGTCCGGTGCCCCCGCCAAGGCCAGAGAGCACTGGGGCTGCAGGCTCCGGACGGGCACAGCAGAGACTGGAGCAGACCAGCTCCTCCCTGGCAGCTGCACTGAGGGCTGCAGAGAAGAGCATTGGCACTGAGGAGCGAGAAGGGTGAGGGGTGCCGGGTGCTGGCTGTGGGGAGCAATGGCCATGGTGTGGGAACACTTCCAGATCCTCTTCCTGGGGGGTCCTGGGAATGTTGGGGAGCATACCACAGGCAGATGCTCAGGCTGGGAGGCCCCTGTTGGAATGGGAAGAACCCAGGTTCTGTAGTTACCCAGGTCTGACCTACAGGGTACCCTGGTGGCTGCCAAGGGGCAGCAAATGACCTTGGGCTAGTCACTTCCCTCCGGAGCTTCGCTTGGCTCAAGGGATGGTGCTACCCACTGCCCCGGGGGTTGTAAGAATTAAGATGCACTGGAAGGGCTTGGCCTCAGCCCAAGCTCAGCGCCTCCGAGGCGCAGGCGATCAGCTGACCTGGCCCTCTCCTTCCTCTGCAGCACCCCCGGCACCTCCACCAAGCACATCCTGGATGACATCAGCACCATGTTCGACGCCCTGGCCGACCAGCTGGATGCCATGCTGGACTGAGCTGTGCCTGCAGTGCTGCAGCGTCCACTGCCTTTGCCCAGCACAGAAGATGCCAGCTGCTTGGGCCAGGAGCTGTCAGCGCCGCGGTGCTTGGGGAGCAGCCCCCACGGGGGCCAGGGGACTTGTCAGAACCTGGCCTCTCAGCAAAGCCCCCTCCAAGTGTGTAATCTGACCAGACAGCCCTGCCCCTTGGAAGGGGGCCTGGTAAGAACTTCCTCCCCAGGGAGAAAGAGGCGGTTGCATCTGGAGGTCTTTCTCTGGCCCCTGCCCCCAGTCTCGAGTCTCTGTGCCAAGGTGCCCTTGCCACCCGCTCTCCTGGAGCTCTGACAGCGGCAGGTGTGGCGTGCCTGGCGGGTCCCCTACAGGTGTACATAGGACATGTAAATAAGCCACCGGAGGCCCACTCCGGGTGGCAGTGCCCAGGCCAGCCCCTGCTCCTGCAGGGGTGGGGGCACTATGAAGAGAACCCTGAAGTCCAAGCTTTTTCAACTGTAAATGTTATTTTTTAAGCAGAGAGAAATGCATATATTTTAAATGGAATTTATTCTATCTATAACTGCCTGAAAGGACGTAGTGGGGAGGGGCTTTGGATGGCAGCCGAAGTGCCTGCTGCCAGCCTGGGGGCAGGAGCCTGACACCGTGGCCCAGGCCCCAGTTCTGGAACCTTAACCTCTCCCCCGACTAACACCAATGAACGTGTCGTGCCGCACGAGCAGCTGTGTGTCTGGGTCTGTGCCGCCACCGCCGGGCCACGCCGCGCACCACCTCGGATGAGGAGGAAGGCTCGGGTGACCCCCACCCCCGCCGCCTCATCTTTGGGGTTCCCTCACTGGCTGAAGCCTCATGGACCAGTCACAGGTTTTTCTTAAGCAATTTACAAGTTTTAATACAAACCAGTCTACATTCATTCCTAGAAGGCTCATTTCCAGTAAAAAATATACACCAGTAAAAACATTCTCACAGGAGAACTCGGGCAGGGGCCCAAAGGGGCCCCCTGGGCTGGGTCCCCAAGACTGACCCCACGGCTCGCTTGAGGGTGGCCACGGGAAGCACTTCCAGGCCCAGGTGAGGGGCTTTCACCTTCTTCGGGTCCCCACAGGTGGAGGGAGGAGAAATGCCTGGCTACACCTCGGCCCCTGCCCCGGGAAGACAGGATGAGGGGCGCGGGGTGGGGCTCCGGCACCCCCGCAGCAGCAGCCGCCCGAGCGAGGCACAACCTCTCATAGCTGCCACCACCGCGCTGGCAAAAAGTTGAGGCACTGCTCCCCGCCGCCCCATATTCACAGCGCTGCCCCAGAGGCCCAAGAGCAGAGGGCACTGGGTTAGAGGACCCTGAAGGGGGCACACACACGGTGGGAGGGGTTGAGGGCCTTCAACTAAGCGCTCAATATCACACACTCAAGACGCCCCTGCCTAGACCCGGAGGACGCCCAGCAGGCAGACCTGGGGCCCAGGCTCAGCAGCGCCTCCGCGCAACAGATGACAAGCCCTGGGACCGGGGCCTCCAGTGCCATGAGATGCAGGAGAAAACCCTGAAACGTTCGTGATACCACCCACCCATACCCCAAAACGGGTCTGCTTCAGCCCCAGGGACCAGGGCAACTGGCCTCTGCGGCCCATGGCTCAGAAGGGAGAGTTCATGCCCAGCTTAGTTTCAAACTGCAGCTTCTGTCGCTTCTGGTAGCGGACCCGGACCCTGTGGGAAAGCATATTAGAGTCCAGGTCAGCGCAGACCCCCAGACCAGGGCACGGAGCCGGACGCCAGAAGAGGGCGGGGCGGGCAGCTGGAAGGCGGGGTGCGGGACCCGGGAGGTGGCAGGCTTAGGGAGCCAGCCGGGGCCAAGGGTGGAGCCCCGCTCACCGAATCTCATGCAGCTTCACGATCTCGTTGGTGACCACCACGAGGACCAGCGAGAGGCAGCCCAGCAGCCACGTCAGCAGCGGCACGTCCTCCAGGCCAAAGTGCACGTGGCTAGCCCCATGGGTCCACAGCCGCAGGTCCACCACCGTCTGCACCACCTGCCCCAGCAGCCTGTGGGGAGGGCGCCATTCAGCCTCTGGCCCAAACCCCTCAGAATCAGCCCCTGACAGCCCCCTAGGCCCGCAGTACTCACACCACGGGCACCGTCAAGGCCCACCAGAGGTTGGTCAAGGGGCTCTTTCTCCACAGGGGCTTGGTGCGGTGCACGTGGGTGATAGAAATGAAGACTGGAGAGAAGGGGGTGAAGGAGAGTCAGTTTTCCCACAGCCCGGGCCTGGCCCCAGGCACCCCGACGCCCGTTCTGGGGGCCCTTACCAGTGTGCAGGACGATCAGGGCGGCGGCGAGCTTCTGGGATGTCAGCAGCCCGTTAGCGAAGTCGCCAAACCAGGCTGGAGCCGTGTCGGTGGAGCTGCGGGGCGAGGAAGCAAGGTGTGCTCAGCACACCCCCCCACCACCCCCACCCTCCCCCCCGGAGCCAGGAGTAGACGGGCAGGGCGGCACCCACCTGGGCAGCATGATGGAGGAGCAGTTGGTGAGGTTGCGCGCCCGGGCGCTGTCGCAGAAGCTCTGCAGCGTGAAGCCAAAGCAGATGAGGCACGAGCTGATGGTGAGGCTGAACTTGAGCAGGAAGCAGAGCAGGAAGTAGTGCTGGGTCTGAGGGAGAAGGGGGTCTCACTCCCGCACCCAGTGACTTTTCACAAGTAAAACAGGCGACCCAGGAAGTGGGGTGAGAAGAGGGGGTCCGGGCAGACACTGCCCACTCTAGCGAGGATCTCCCCAGCCCTGCACCAGCACCTCCCCCTTGGCTGGGGAGAAGTTCTGGCGGAAACCCTCTCCAGGCCAGCCCCAGGCACTCACGTTAAGGGGTGAGGCTGGGCTCATGGGGGCTCCTCATCGCTTACCTTCTTAGGGATAGACTGAAGGTTCTTCCCGGTCGCCATGGACATGATGGAGCTGTGAGGGGGCTTCCCCAGCAGAGAGATGCTGAAAAGCAGAGACTGGATGAAGGGTAACGACCATGACCCTTTGTGCCCCCCGACCCCATGTGTGAAGCCTGGCTTGAGTCTTGAGAGTGAGATCAGAGCTGGTGGGCAGATGGGGAGGCAAGGGCGATCCCCCCACTGCCTCCTTGGCAGAGGAGGGGTGCACTGAGCACAGCCCAGAACTTGGGTTCCTGAGATGCTGAGTCACCTCCCAACCGCGGCCGTGTGGCTCTCACCTGAGGAGAGGGTAGCAGAAGCAGGACAGCCACAGGATGTCAGTGGTGCTCAGGAGTGGGGGCAGCTGGACCAAGCAGGAGAGGAACTAGGCAGAGAGGGGCCAAGAGACAGGCCTCAGCTCCGGCCAGCAGTCATGCCGGAGCCCAGGCCAGCTCTCTGCTGTGATGCTCACGTCCTGGCTGGGGAGCTGGGGCCCAAGGGGAAGCTGCCAATGGGGTCATTGCCAAAAGCCCAGGGGCTCTAGGGGCCCCCAGTCTGTCTGCAGCTTCCAATTGTCAACTGGCCTGGAGTGGGTGGGGGCTGGAGGGCAGTGACGGAAGGGGCCCCTCCTCACCTGGATGACCACGAGAGTCAGCTGGCACTGCAGCAGGAAGAGGAAGCACTTGCGGATACCGTAGGTGGCGTGCCGTGCCTAGGGACCCAGAGGGACAGATTGTGGCCTCTCTCAGGCCTAACAGCTGACAAGCTTCAGCCGAGAGTCAGATGCCTCGGATGCTCCTGCTAGGAAGGGGTGGCAGGAGCTAAACTGCCAGGGAGAACTCCGCGTGGAGGTCAACCAGCCCCCGGACACCAGGCAGGTCCTGTGCCATGATGGCCCACCCAAGCAGGTTTGCACCCCTGCCTCCTGCCCCAGCCCAGGCCCCACCTGCTCGATGAGGCGGATGATGCTGATGGTCTCTTCCTGGCGGAAGGTCAGGGAGCAGGGCAGGCTGTTCAGCTGCCCGGAGAGCTGAAGGGGCGCAAGGCCATCCGAGGCCTGGGCCATGCTGGTGCTGGTGGCATAGCCAAAGGTCTCCCAGGAGCAGCGGGATGGGTACAGGGGGTCCAGGGCGATGCTGCTCAGTGGGGGAGGGGGAATCAGAGCCATCAGCGGCTCCAGCAAAAACCCTATCTCCCACGGGCATGAGCAAGTACCTGCTCCCTCTACCTCACTATGCCCAGGTCCCTGGGTCCCAACCAGGGCAAAAGCGGCCATGGACAATGCCCCAACCCCATGCAAGACCGAGCCTGGGGTGTCTGGGAGGCAGAGGCTGACCCAGCTCCAGGGAATCGCCCTGACCTGATATCGCTCTGCAGGAAAAGGCAGCTATTTCGCAGGTTAGCAGAGCTGCCCAGGCAGCAAGTCACCTCCCCATACTCCTGCATGATCTTGATCATCTCGCACATGGCTGGGGGACAGAGAGGGTGGGGGGGCAAAGCCCCGTGTGGGGCACTGGCCAGGGACTCACAGGACAAGAGAATAGGCGGCACAAGAAGCATCCCACCCCAGAGCTGGAGATGGTACTAATACTGCCCCTCCTGACTCCCTAGAATGGGCACACCCATGGCTCTGCCCTCCGGATGCTGGGGCTTATCCAGTCCCAGCTCCTTGGCTCTCTGAATGGGAGACAAACTTTCCCTCCCGAGCCTACGGGGCACCCAAGCCCTGGCAGGGCTCAGTGGGAGGGGCAGGCTGCCTAAGCAGCTATGGCCCCAGTACTCACTCTCGGGGGTACAGTCAGTGAAGAGGGGTACCAGCAGGGGCACGTTGTCAATGTTTTGCAGATGGGGCCGCACCTGGTGGATGCCCCGGGGCAGCTTGGCCTGGAGAGGGCAGAGATGCCTGCGGCGTCAGGGTGCGGGACGAGGGCCCCTCCATGCTCCCTTCTCAGCCTCGGCCCAGCCTTGCGGCCACCTCCAGTGCCAGGGCACAGGCCCTGTGTCATACCCGGTTGCAGTCCTCCAGGAAGCTGGGAAGGTCGCTATCCGTGGGCTGGAAACTAATGAGGTCAGAGTGACCCTCCTCCTCCATCAGAAGGAGCCCCTCTGCATCATCTCGAGACACTGTGGGGACAAAAACCTGTCCCTCAGCTTGGGTCCAGCCTGCTGGGGGCCTTTCCTTGTCCTGCAGGTGGTACAAGAACCTCCTGCCTCTCCGCCTGTCGACTGGCATCATGCAGGGTTACCAGACCCATTTTCCAAGGGAACGTCCTTTTTTGGGAGGGCTCCAGGGAAGCTCTTTCCAGCTGTAGCTCTGAGCAGGAGCCTCCCACATGCACCTCATCCCCGCCACAAACCTTTGCCCTCACCCTGATTCAGGTCATCATGCAAGGAGCCCGCGTGGCTGGGACTGGAGGGGGGGATCTCGGAGCCAGGCATGTCCCCATTGGGCGTGAGGGAGATGTGGCAGTTCCAGCCTGTCTCCAGGCCCATCTTCTCTGCAAACACCTGCAGAAGGCAGGTGGCGATGAACAGATGGGCCCTGAGCCGGGGAGAAGGGGCAGGGTGGTGCAGGCACACGGGGAGAGCCCTTCCACCTTGCTTTTGAGCTCATCCTCCAAAGAGAAGTAGACGAAGCGGATGCAAGCGTTGACCAGCCCATCGATGAGGCGCACGATGTCCAGCCGGGCCTGGTACTGGGAGGACACCATGCCCATGAAGATCTGGCCGCTCAGGGCCTGCACGCAGTCTTCCTTCTCCAGCACCTCCCCGATCCCTTCTTCAGGTAGGCATAAGGCACAAAGGCGGGCAGGGACACGACCCAGACAGGACGCCCAGGAACCGGCAGATTCCAGAAGGCAGCCGGGGCCACACACACAGCGACCACACCCCGTCAAGTGAGCACGCAGCCCCAGGGGACCACATGAGGCCAAAGACACACAAAGGAGCCAACAGACACGGGGGAGAGACAAGGAAAGGCACTCGTCAGTCAGGTGGCCGTCAGAAGCGGAGGGACAGAGCCTGACTCTGTCCAGGGCCAGGGGGCCGGCCCTAACCTCAGCCACACCCTCAGTCCTCGGGTCCTAAGACCCCCAGGAATCTGGGTGTTTGGTGACAGGGGCCAGGGTGTGGAGCTGAGTCCCAAGGCCCCAGCAGGGTTTCTGGGCTTCTGTTCAATCCAAATAAGGCTAAAAAGCTATACATGCAGCTGCTTTATAATTTCCAGAGAAAGCACTTTTCTATACATTATCTCCCTGGAACATCACAGTAAGCTGTGAGCAGGGCAGAGGAGGCCCTGGTTCTAGCGGAGAGGCCTGAGGGGTCTGCCCGGCCATCCAGGTCCAGAGTTGGCCCACTGCCCCCTCTGCTGCGGCCCATTTGGAGCCCTCCCCATGCAGGCCGCTGCGCCTCCCGCTGTACCGTCGGAGCTCCAGCTGTTGCGGCGGGTGCTCAGCTTGAGGGGGATGGTGCTGGGCAGCTCGCACATGGTGAAGATGCTGCTCTGGCCAGGTGCCTGCACCAGCTCGATGCACTTGCCATTGAGCTGCGAGGACAGGGTGCAACTCATGGGCTTGTAGGCGAAGGCAGAGCAGTAACCAGATAGGCAGGCTCGCTGGTAGAAATCCAGCACTTTCTTTCTGCCAGGGGAGCAGGGGAAATGAGATGAGCGGTCCTGGGAGCCCCCACGCCCAAGGCTGGGTGGGAGGAGCCCAGGAGCTGACTGCTCTTGCCCCTAGCACATGCATCCTCACCCACCTGTCGGAACCCGAGAGAGGGTAGATGTCAGCTCCGTCCCAGAAGTCAGTGCAGGCCTCCAAGACCACATCGGCCGTGCCGTGGGACAACATCTGCTCTGTGCCTGAAGGAGAGGGGAGGCCAAACCATGAGTGCCCGGAGCCACCCACCACCTCACAGCTGACACGAGGCATCCTTGAGAAGGGTGCTGCGGCAGGTGGGAATGCCCCAGGCTTCACAGCAAGCCGGTGTGGATCCCTGCTGTGCATTCAACTGCCCATGCTCTGTGGCCACCAACCTCCCAGCGATGGTCCCCAAGGCCACATTTGAGGTCTAGCGCTCATTGGCCCAGCCACCCCTAAAAAGGGACAGGGAAGGACAGAGCCTCTCCTCACCCCCAAGCTCCCGGAAGGTCTGGTGGGGGACTCACTGGTGGTGGTATCCTTGATAAAGAGGCTGATCATGTGGCTGAGGGGAGGGCGTCGCTTGGTGACGCAGGAGAGCCTCCCCAGCGAAGTCTCCTTCACCATCTCGGCACTGGGGAGGCGGTAGAGCGCCAGGTGGTTCTCCTGCTTGAAGAGCTCCTTGGCCCCTGGCGTGAAGCCTGCAAGAGGGACGGGAACTCAGGCCCGTGGGAAGAAGCTCACAGCACCTACACCTCCTTCCCAGCGTGGAAAGAGACCTGGTCAGTTCAGGCTGTTTCTCAAAGTGAGGTCATAGTGCCCTCGAATCCTTAAACCACACAATTCCCACAAAACCTAGCTAACTTTCCTTCCTGCCATTTTTAGACAGAGCAGAGCCTTACGCTTCTCAGCATGTTACAGCTTTGGTGTGTGCAGAAGGGATGGGCCCAGGCCCCAAGCCAGCTGAAACTAAGAGGCCGCTGACCGGGACCAAAAATTAAAGGGGAGGGGGCTGCTCGGACTGCATTTAGAAGTGAAGAGTCCCAAGAACCCAGTCATCCAAAAACGCTTCTCCACAGGTCTCCACATATGGGCCATTTTACAGCTAAGCGATCAAGTCTCACAGTTTCTTCCTTCCTAATTTTGTCTTCTGCCTAACTCCGCTCCTGTAAAACCTGAGCCTGTTCAGGTCAGAGAGGCAGATTCGAGGTTTTCCTCCTGTCTCCCCAACAGTTCCCTGCAGTAAGCCTTTCTTTCCTCAAAAGCCAGTGTCATGGCATTGGCCTCCACGCGCCCCTGGCACAAGGCTGTTGCCGGGTAACGTGTCCCTCCACCCTTCCATCCCCATAAGCGGCTACTTTCTCAGAGCAGGAGGCACTATCCAGTTGCAGCGCCTGGTGAAAGGGGGATGACCAGGAGCTAAGAGCAGGTTGGCAGTGCCCTCCTGTCAAGGCGCGCCTGGGACTGAGGAGCCTGGAGTCCACGGCCCCGCTGGCGTCTGCCTACCAATGAGCCGGGCAAGCTCACAGAGGCCCCAGGGCACGTGCACAGGCAGCACGGCGCTGTGGCTCTCCTGCAGGGCGATGTTGCACAGGTGGTCGGAGAAGCGGCACAGCCGCTCGGTGACGCTGGCGTTGCACAGGTTCAGCAGCACGTTGAGGCCCAGGGGCTTGAGGGAGGTGAGGTGGAGCTGCCAGTTGGAGTCATCAAACTGGATGCAGGAGGGATTCTGCTGGTCCTGCGACAGGCTTAGCATCTCCAGGTGGTAGTCACACACGAAGTCCTCTGTCTCGTAGGGCTCACTCTCCAGCCCAGGCTGGGCCTGGAGGAAACATAGAGAGGCAGGGGTGGGGATGGAGGCCTGAGAGGAGGCAGCCCTTGCCCAGCAATATGTGCTCCTGCCCATGCTGTCTCTAACCAGTCCCGAGATCCTCTGCCTGTCCTTCCTGGGCTCCTGGAGATGTCTAGTATCTATACCGGCTGACACTGGCAGCATCTAACAGGAGGGGTGGCTAGACTGAGGAGGAAGCAATGGAGGAGCCATTTCAGACAGGGAGAGATTTTAGACAAAGCCACTGGCTCTCTATCTTCAGAAGGAAAGAGTCTGGTCCCAGCCAGTTACCATGGGGGAGGCGGGGAGACGGGGAAGCAGCAACCACTTCAGGGAAGTTCTGGGCAAGGCCGGGAGCCTGGGCTTCACCCCCCAGGCTAGGCCAGCCTGTCGAGATGGCCACTCTCCACCTCTCTCACCTTTCTGGGCTCTTCATCCCCGCCCTCTATGTCCCGGCTGAAGCTCACGTTGGAGCCGGACGGGTGTTTGCTGCGGCAGTGGGCTTTGTGGTGAGAGTAGGGTTCAGGGGGCTTGGGACCATCTCCAGGCCAGTCGCCACGCTCCTGCTCATTGGAAAGATGCAGGGTCGTGTTCAGGGAGCCCATGAGGAGGGCGTCTCGTTCATGGGGCTGAGGAGAACAAAAAGCACAGGCCTCAGACCAGGGTCCTGTCAAGGCAGCCAGCGCCACGCATGTCCCTTCGAGGCCTGAGGCCTGGCCTGGCGGCTTCACCTGAGCGCTCAGAAGCAGGTCCTCAGGGTGCCTGACCCTCCCTCTGCCTCACCTCACCCTCCCTGGGATTACCGGACAGATGCCAAGAGCTAAACGGCCTGGCCTGGCCGTACCTCCTCCACTACCTCGGGGTGGCAGAAGGAGCGGGTGGACAGGTCATCCGTGAGGTCCTCGTGGCTGCTGTGCGGCGGCTCCACCTTCCCGCTGAAGAACAGCACGGTCTCTGGGCTGGGGTTTGGCCACGACAGGATCCCTTGCTTGTCCACACAGCACAGGACCTGCAGGAGAGCGGTGGGGTTGGACAGGGGCTTGGCACCCCCCACGCCGCTGAGGTGGGCTCCAGGCTCGAGGTGGCCCTCACCGTGACAGAGCCCAAGCTGTGCAGCAAGCTGGAGCTGCGGCTGAGCGTCGGCGACGTCCCCTGGATCACCCGCAGGAAGTGGGCCCAGATGCAGCGCAGCATCTCCTGGTGGGGGAGAGGGTCCCGTGAGGCAGTCCAGCTTCAGTCACATTCCCTGGAGATGGTTTCTGGAGCCAGCAGGGGTCCTGGGAATTTGGGGTGCAATAGGACCCACAGGGCAGGGGCTGGGCACTCATACCTTGCCCATGTGAGGTGGGTGATCGAGGGCTCTTAGAGCCTGACTGGGGGCTCAGAGGGAGTAGGGGAGCCCCCCAGCTCCAAAAGGGGCCTGAGGGAGCTGGGGCAGAACCCAACAGGGTGAGAGTACCTGAGTGGAGACAGCTTCTGTGTAGCTGCTGAGTGTGTCCTCCGAGAACTTGGCCAGCTGCACGGACAGAGGGTGTGAGCCTCAGGGAGGAAACGGTCCCTTCCCAGGCCTCTAAGCTGGCCGGGTAGGGGCCCATAGCAGCGGAGCTGCCAGCACCTTCGATAAGGAACCCCACCTAGTGAGGGCCTGGGCGGATGCTCACCCACCCGTGGGCCCCTGGAGGTCCTTCTGGACCACAAGGGCCGAAGCCCTCAGAGGGGTCTGCCGCGCATGGGGCCCTCAGGCTGGACTGGACGCCGCCCCTGCTCCACGGCAGAGCCGACCCTTCTTCCTGTCCCAGACGCCTGGAACAACCTACCAGGGAGCTGGGCGAGGCCTCACTCATCTGGGCCAGGACTCGGGCTTCTCCACAGGCGGTTGCCAGAACCCAGAGGACTGGGAAGAGCAGGGGGAGGATGGGCAGGACGCCATTCACCTGGAGAGAGTGAACCACACCAGCTCCCAAGAGCTGCCAGCCCAGGAGCAGGTGGGCAGTAGGGAGAGGGAGGGCTTCTGTGGCCCAGCAGCCACTGCCTGAGGAGAAAGGGGTGGCAATCGGGGCAGGAAGGGAAGCCTGAGGGCCGACTCCGGGGCTGGAGGGGGAGGGACAGCTGGGCCCAGGATAGGGGAGCTTGGCGGGAAGAACGCAGAGGGAGGGCAGTGCTACCTGCAGCTGGAGCAGGGTGTACTGCCAGGAGGTGACTCCAGGAGCGTTCAGAATGAAGCGCAGGGCATTGGTGGTGAAGAAGCCAGCCTGATGGGAACGGGGGCGCTGTAGCCTCAACCCCAGCTCAGGAACCAGGCTCTCAGGCTCCCCTTGCTCCGCCCACTCACACGCCCCAGGCTGTTGGGCTCATTCTGGGCCCCAGGCTCACGTAAAGCTGGAAGCCCCGGCCGCCCCCTCCCTCTCCCCCCTCCCCCCCCCCAGGACTCTGCCCTGCGCACCAGCACCACGGGCACGGCATAGTGCAGCATCACCGACTGCACCGTGAACCTCTCGTTGTCCAGAGCAGTGACTGGGCGGGACAGGGCCATGTCCAGGCACCATCTGCAGAAGGAGATGGCCCTCAGTACTGCTCAGGGAGAGGCCGGGAACCCGCCCCTCTGTGAGCATCGCTGAGCCCTCATGTGCCCTGGCACCCAGGGGAGGGGTTGCAGCAGCCCCTGAGCCACATCGCCAGAGTTCAGAGTGGGAGGGGAGCCATGGCTCTGCCTAAAGCCAGGCGACACCCCTACCTGACATTGTCGATCACAGGGGTCTCGAGGACGCGGAAGAGCCGGTGCTGCTGGGGGTTCTGTGGGCCTTTCTTCACTTCTCCCCGGGGGGACGGGGGTGGGGAGAAAGGGGGAAACAAGTCTCCCGGCTCCAAGACGATGTGTTCATCATCCTGCCAGCCAGGGAGGGATGAGGGCGCCGGAAGTCAACAGGTGCTATCAGCAACCGCTCTCCCTGACAGTCCCAGCTAGGTGGGGGCATCTCACTGGGCTAGGGACCACCAGTTGGCAAGACTAAGTTGGGCTGGGGCCTGTGGGACTGGATTCCTAGCAGCTTGACAAGGAGGAGAAAGATGTTCCTGCTTTTGTCCTCTCTCCTTGGCCAAGGAGCCCAGGAGCTGGCCGGGAAGCTTCAGAACCAGACCCTGGGCCCCTCTCGCCATGGCTGTGGGTGTTCCCACAATGTTTCCGGGGGGGGAGCCTCACACTACCTTGATCCCCCTCAGAGAGGCAAAAGATTCCTGGCCGGGCCTCAGAGCGATGATGTCTCCTTCCACCAACAGGCTAACCGGCAGGTTGACCAGATGTCCATCTCTGTAGGCCCAGTGCAGGGACCAGGATGGTGCAAAGGGCATGTGGAGGTCGGGGTACAAGGCATTTGGCCACTTGAGCTCCTTGCCATCCTTGAGGGCATCTGATGAAATGGGAAAGAGGATGACAACCTCGCCCATGTCCTATACACCAGCCAGGCCCAGCGCACACCTGTGAGCGTTACCACACCCCTTCCTTCCCCAGAAGGCCCACGTCAACCCACGCCACTCACCCCAGCACTTGCCCTGCTGTCCAGGCTGCCTCCCCTATACACCTTTCCAGCCCGGCACTTCCACCTCCTTGTACCCCAGTTCCATTCAATTGCATTGCACAGACATGGCCGAGTCTCATGAGGGGTACAAAGGTCAAAGGTGAAGCCGACCTGCTCCCTGGCCTCACTGGGCCAGGTCACTGCCTGGGCACTCACAATGGTCCTGGCGGCTCTCACTGTCTTACTCTCAAGAGATCAGGCACATTCTAGCTCCTTTCATGGCAGAGGCCCTGGAATGCTGACCACAGGCAAGGCCAGGGGCTGAGCGTGCTGATGGGGGCTCAGGAGGGAAACTCTTGGGGCTCTGATGCACCTGGGGCGTCTTTCCCACCCAACAGGCCTGGGCCTCCGCCTCACCTTGGATTTGGTCAATGATCCCTCGGAGCCTCCGCTCCACCTCACGACGCTTCAGGCGCTCTTGCCGCCCAATGAGGACAAGGTTGAGCAGCAGCAAGAGGAACAGCGCTGAGGCGTTCACCAGCTCCACCCCGTGGCTGGCCAGAAGGTGTGAGGGGGACCAGCAGCAGTGAGAGCCCCTCCAACCACCCAACCCAGGGCCCATGACACCTCTGCCCCCTCCACCCTGTCGCTCCCAGCAAGTGTCTGTTTCTGCAACCCCCCTCCCCGATGCCCATGGTGGGATGGCAGAGACCTCTGCGGGGCAGAGGGACAGGAGGTTGGAGAGGCCAGGAAGAGCCGGCACAGGGCCATGCACTTACCTGCCGGCCGGCTGGCCCCCACAGCAGCCCAGCAGCAGCAGGACAGCCAGGAGCATGAGCGAGGCGCCGGGCCAGTGGAAGCAGGAGCAGCGGTTACTGTGGTGTAGGAAGCTGCTCCTCCACATCTCCTGGAGGGCAGGGGCCAGCAGTGAGAGGCCGGGTGGGCAGCAGGGAGGCGCTACCTCGCCTCCTACCCCCACACTCACTCCACCCAGCCCGGGGGGTCTGCTCTTCTTGCCTTGATCTCAAATGGGGTCAGGACACCCCTCTAAAGGGGAATCCCAGTCGAGGGTGGGTCCCTAGGCTTCTCTGTCACCCCAGCTAGGCTCAGGCCTCCCGCGAAGGACTCTTTACCTTCCACGTGAGACGCTTCTTCCGCTCCTTCAGGTGTCCTTCTAGCACCGCCTCCAGCTGCTCCTTCAGGATGCTGAGGGCCTTCCGCGTGGACAGGCCCAGGGCCAAGGGGGGCTCGCCCTGGGGGGAGACGGGGCAGGGAGGCGCTCAGCCAAGACCATGGTCATCCAGGACTGAGCCGTCCTCTCCCCCCGACCTGCCTCCCTCCTCCAGAACCCCCACCTTATCTTCTGTCCTTCAGGGGAGCGTCCAAATCTCCACCCAATTACAAGACATCCAAGTACTCAGTCCCCCGCTCTTCAAAGTCAAATTTAAAACCAAGAGAACTTGGGCCTCCCTGGTGGCGCAAGGGGCTAAACACAGCACTGTGAAGCTGTCTGCAGCCTCTGCAGCTCGAGTTCCATCCCCGGCCGGCCAGGGAGCAACCCACATGGCACAACAGACCTCCTGTCTGCTCCCCTCAGCAGCGTATTTCAGTAGATCTGCCTATTCTACTCCCTGCTCTGTCTCTGGTGAATCCTCTCACCCCCTGCACCTCTGGCCTGTACCCCAGTTCTTGTATGCACAAATAAACAAATCTTTATAAAAAATAAATAACATAAAACCAAGAGAACTTTCTACAGTCAAGGTTTCCTAACTCACCTTCATCTACGGCCGCCCACATCTCCTGGCCACTGACCTCAGTGCACCTCCCATTAATGCACCTCCCCAGCCCCATCTTTCAGAGGTCAGGGGCCGCAGGCCCACGTGTATGCACGCGCACACACACACACACACACACACACAACCTTTTAATGTATATAAATTTGGGGGGGGGAAACTTTCAAGTGAGGAGAGGAGAGGAGAGCTAGGGCAGAGACGGCAGCTTTCGCATCTTCCGAGCGGCAACGCCGAGGGCAGAACGCCCGTCATCTCAGCGGCAGCTCATGGTGGGGAAGCCACCGAGCCCTCACGTGGGAAGGACACTGACAGGAAAGACAGCTGCCCCCAGGAAAGGCCTGTGCACCAGCCACCCCCGCCCCGTCTCCCTGGGACGGCAGGGTGGGGTCCAGGCAACACCAGGGGCCGCCCCCGTTGTCCTTCATGACCCCAGCTGAGAGCCCTGCTCCTGGCTTCACTGCTGTTTTCTCCTTTGACCCTGCTTTTCCTGGGCATCTCCCCCATAGGCCACCTACGACATCTTAACCACGTTAGGTATGTTTCCAGGTCCACCCCGGCCACAGCCAGGGGTTCACCCACCACCAGGGACAAGCGCACGCCTCCCCTGTCCTCCCTCCAGCCCGGCCGCGGCCCAGGACTCTGGCCATTAGCTAAACCGCTTCCCAGCTGTTTACAGGCCTCCAAACCCTGAAACCACCTGGGCACCCTCACCAGTGTCCACACCCCTCCTGCTGACGCCATCCCACCCAGGCACCTCCCCTGGCTCCCCCCTCCTCCCACCCCCCAATTTCTACCTTTGGTCTCTACTTTTTCCAAAGCAACTGCAACACCCCATCAGAGAAAGTGCGGGTCCGATCAGCTGAGCCCGTCTACCTTCACAACCCAGCCCAGACTCCTGGGTCTGCAGCGGCTTCTCCAGCCTCCCATTCGGCCTTGGCCTGTTCTCCTCACCAAGAGCACGCTCCAGCCACAGACAGCTCTTTCTTCTTCAAGACTCAGCTCAAACATCACCTCCTCTGGGAAAAGTTCCCGAAACCCAGGCTGCACTTAGGAGAGGGGTTTGTGTTCCAATGTACCCTGGGCGGCCTGGGAGGCCTGGCCCAGTCTGCATCGCACAGGATTGTCATTACAGATTTATTTGTCTGGCTCTAGACTGCCAATTCCTTGAAAACAGGTACTGAATTCACACGTCTCCCACCAACTGCTTAGGCAGTGCCCGGCACACAGCAGCAGCTCAGTCAATACTTGATGAATGAATGAATGAACGCACAGCTTCAGTGATCCCAATGATACCCTAATCAGGGTCGTTAACCCACAGTCTGTAGCAGATACACCTGGCGTTTGAATAGCAGGGAGGTCCACGCTCCTTCCAGGCTGACCACATCAAAAGCACTGGACAAGGGCCCACCCCAGCTTGACTCTGGTGCACAGATCCCCCCCAGGTTGGGGTCCCTAGGATAAAGAACACCCCTGGGCAGGGCAGTGCCTGGTGAGAACCATGTAAGAGCACCAACGTGAGCTGTCAGCAGGAAAAGCCCCTGAGCCAGAGGAGTGGACCCTTAGATGTGGGCACAAAGTGAGGAGTCCCGACCAAGGGCCACGGAGCCGGTGACACCCTAGCTGCCCTGTCCTGTCTCGCTGTCCCTCCCATAGCCCACAGGTCTGCTTCCCCAGGGTCCTGCCCTGGGTTTGCCCACTAACCTTCTGGATTTCTTGCCCCCTGCCTGTCTCCAGTGCCCTCCCCGCCCACCCTGCAGCCTCTCTCACAGGACACTTGACTTCAAGACTAGAGGGGCTGCCGGGTTGGGGCTGGAAGGATGTGCCTGCATGGAATCCCAACACTGGCTTCCCGCCAGCACCCTGAGAATAGGCTCCAGAGGAAGCCTGGCCCAAGACTTCCCGACCCCTTGACCCCTTGCCTACATCGCACTTGATCCCTGCTCCGCATGGAGGCTTTGCCGGATTAGGAAGCTAAGGGCGGCTTCTTCCCGGAGGGGATAACTGGTCACTTCAGCTCCGGGAGAAAAGACCTTCTGGGCCACAAAGCAACCACCTCCTAGGGCCTCCTGAGGGGCAGGGGTCCAGGACACAGGAATGTCCGCTAAGACCCCTGGGCAGGAAGAGGAAGCGCAAGGGAAGGGGAGTACAGGCCTTCTCCTGCCCAAGGGGCAGGTCCAGAGAGGGACAAGGCCTGCTCCTGTCATGGCCGGGAAGGAGGGCGTGTGGTAGGGCCAGGGTGAGAACTCAGGGCTGGGCCCCTGCCCCGCCTGCGCTCCCCGCCAGCCTGCCTTCTCCCCCACCCCCACCCGCCAGCCCACCTTCTCTGCACAGCAGCACCAGGTGTGTGAGCCTTTCCAGGTGGGCTTGTCCCGGCCAGGCCTGCAAAGGCGCTCCCAGAGACAGGGCTTGGGCAGGAAGAGGGCCGGCCAAGCCCCATGGGGCTGCAAGATCCCCAGGGAAGCTGCTGGGTCTGGAATGAGGAGGCGGCTGGAAAAGGCAGAGAAAGGCTAAGAGGCGCCCTCAGAGAGCCCCAGGGGTGAGCAGTTGTCCCTCCAGGCCGCTAGCCCTGGACACTCAGCAAGGCCCCTCTGCTTGCCTGTGGCCATCCTGCCTCTTCCAGGGACCCCCAAACCTGGCCCAGCAATTGATCAGCCCCCAGGTTCTAGGCCTGCCCATGCTCCTCTCCAGGTGGGGGTGATGGGCTAGTGGGGACCTGCGCAGAGCAGGAGGGCGCCTGCTGAGCTGTCTGCACGCGCCGCCCCGCATGTTGTGTCTGGCCAGGAGCTCCGACTCCAGCCTGGCGATTAAAGACAGCACAACAGAGGGAAAACAAGCCATTCTGTAATTACACGCCTCCCGAAGGAAGCGCCTGCCCGCACAGGCTGGCCCTGAGGCGAGGACACGGCCTCTGCCCGATCTCCGTGCCCAGCCCCTCCTCCGGCTGCCAGGGCTGCTCACCAAGCCAAAGGGCAAGCCTCGCCCTGTGTGCAGCAGGAGGGTCCCCATGTCCCACCTTGTGCCCCCACTTCTCCCCCACATGGCAAGGAGCCACTGGGAGGGGGGGGACTCGGCAGGAGACCTTCACACTTTCCAAGGGAAATTCAGCAGGGCTGGGGGAGCGGGACCTGCCGGCTTTCCCAAAGCAGGAGTCAGGCTGGGCACGCCGGTGTGCCCGGCAGACAGTGGGGAGACCGCACAGGACGGGGACAGTTTGTCTGCGAAATAGGAACCCGAGTCAAACACGTGCAACCCGAGGTCACTGCTCTTGCCGGAGCGGGGCAGGGACGACGCCTTAAGCGCCAACGGTAGGAAGGTAGGAAGGTAAGAAGAAGGAAGACAGTTCCTCCCGCTCCCAGGCACTCAGAAGCTCCTCCCCACACCCACCCACCACCAGGCACCTCCAGAGACATTCCTGGCCAGGAGCACACGGGGCTGAGCCGGTCTCCACCCTAGAGAGGAGGTGAGGCCCCACTTCTCGCTCCGCAGATGCTTTTCAGGGCGCACCAAGCCCAGCCTGCTGCTCTGCCAGGTTCGACAGGACCCAAGAGCCAGGACCTGGGGCGCCGGGCAACTTCTCCCTGTCCTCGCGGCAAAGGTGGACACTGGCAGGGCACGGGGGCTGGGGGGCAGCAGGATGGTAAAAGCACCAATCCACACATCAGGACCACGAGGCGCTGCTGCAGGGCGGCACCAGCTCGGCAGGGCCAAAGCCAAGCACCTGGGGGCATCTAATGGATCTTCAGGAGCAGGCGCCCAGGTTTCTCGGGTGGCCCAGAACCAAAAATCCCCAGGGCCTGTCCTTCCAACACTCCGCCCGGGTCCCCCAGCCCAGCAGCTGGCCTCCTTCCTGGCCCACCTGCCTAGGGAGAAAGCCCATCAAGGCCCTCAGGAAGGCTCAGGAAGACAGGTTATGAATATAGGCCTTGACCTTTGGCCATGACAACCACCAATAACCAGTCATTAGGATGGGCTGGCGGCCTGGCTAAGCACCCCACCCCCCCACTCTCCCAACCTTAGTGTTCAGTGCAGGTGGGGAGGGGGCCAAGCTGGACCCCATCATCTGCATCACCAACCACCGTGCCCAGGGTCTTTTTAGCAGTCTTGGGAAGTCTCTCCTGAGTTTGACCAGGCACGTGGCCAGTCTGCAGCCAGGTAGCCCAGCAGAGACCTCCCTCCCCCCACACCCCCTCCTACTACCCTGCTCATGCTGACCAGGCTCTTTGAAAAGGCTCCTGTCTCAGTGACCCACATGGGCCAGTGAAAAGAGCCCCCTTGCTGTAGGGGTGGTGTCCAGGCTCGGAGTTTGTCTCCTGCAGATGCAGACCGGGCCCCAGTACACCCCAAGAGGACGCCCCTCTGGGGGACTGGGCTCCAGTCCTCCCCTGGTGAGGCTGGGTCGGCAGCTCCCCAGACACACTGACTTCTGCTCCCTTTCCCAGCCTCCCAGCACGCCCAGCCTCCCCGCCATCTGAGCTGCCGCAGCTCCGCATCCATCTCCAAGACCCTGGCAACCTCCACCCTGCAGCAGACGCGGACCACCACGCCGCCGCCGGGTACTCACTTTGTTGCCTTTGCCCTGGTGGGGCATCCAGAGCTCTGCCTGCTTGAAGAGCATGGTCTGCCTCGGAACTTCCAAGCACAGGGGGAGAGGCAGGGAGGGAAGGAGAGCGAGCGGGTGGAGAAGCGGGGCCAGGAAGGAGAGCACAGGAGTGAGTGCGGAGCCGAGCGGTGCTGCAGAGAATCAGAACCAGACACAGCAGAGCGCAGCTTCAATCTGCTGATGAATTCAGCCTATTTCCAGTCACGCTGCAGATTCGGGGAGGGAGGAGGAGGCAGCTCTGCACAGCGGCCGTGGGAGGGAGCAGAGGAGGAGGGAGGGAGGGGAGAGGGGCTGAGAGGAGAAAGTTTGTGGGCTGCTCTGCCAGAAGTCCAGGAGCTCCCCCATCCATCAGAGAGGCCGCAGGGGGTGAGCTGGTGTGGGGGAGACACAAAGCCGAGGTGTGCAGGAAATTACTGCGGTGGGCCTGGAGCCCGGAGAGTGACTGCTGGTATCAGGGGTCCCCAGGCCCTCTTGCCAAACTACTTGGCCTTCACCCCAAGTGGCTGGGCCAAGCGAGGAGCCCCAGAGTGATGGGCCTGCCATCCATGAGAGCACCCGCAAATCACTCAGACTCCCAGCACAGAGCTACGCCAACAGCAGCTCTTTCCACATTCAAAGCTGCAGGAAGGAGGGAGAGGGGACCAGAGGTTATTAATAGCAGCACATCCTGCGTGGAGGGGGAAGGACCGGCGACTGAGAAACTGGAGCAGGGACTTCTAGGCAGGCAGAGCTGGGGACCAGAAGGAAGCGGAAGAGGGGAGCCAGCTGGAAGGAAGGGCTTCTGAGGATTCCCACCAGGTGTTGGGGGTACAGGGGACCCCAAAAGCCTCTGGTCAATGTGAGAACACAGCTGCACTTGACACACAAGCCTAAGTCTGCTGAGACCAGGGGATGGCGTGGGCGCCCAGACCTCACCTCCAGGCTGGAAGCAGGCCAGTGACCCGGGGACCCCTGAGCATCAAGCCCAGTCTGAACATCATCTAGGATCCCAAGTTTGATGCAGAGGAATTTCTCAGTACAGAACCCCTGGGCAGAGAGGGGCAAAAGGCACCAGGAATGGCTGGGCAACTTCTCTGCCTCTTTCCAGGGGCTGCAGCCCCCCAAGGGAGAGGAAAGAGGTCCACTAACTGCAGACCCTGAGCCGGCTTCTGCTCGCCCTGGTTTCCTAGACAACAGAGTCTCTGCTGCAGGGAAGAGTCTCACAAAGTTCAACTGGCTGCTCCCATCCCCCTTCTCTAACACAGCTCCCAGTGCCCGCCCCCTCCCCAACCAAGGTCTGAAAGGGAAAGAAAAGGAGGGGCCGGGCAGCCCAGAGGTTAAGGGCAGGAAGTCTCCATGAGGAGCAGGCCCAGGAAGGAGGGGTCAGTTTCCCAGAACAAGCAGGCCTGCAGCCTTAGCAAACCTCAAGGGGACTCTAGTTCCCTGTCCCTCGCCCCAGATGTCACTTCTCGTGCTCTCTACCTGGGCTCTGCTCTGTGAAGCCACAGTGTGACAGGCCCTACAAAGAACAGCTCTTAGGGTCTCACCTAGGGGGTCTGCAGAGCCCCCAGGGCAGCCCTCTCTCTGTTCTGTCCACTTCCTACTTTGCCCGCTGCAGCCCTGCATCTAGGACGCAACCCCCCAATCAGGAAGGGCTGGAGAGGAAGCTCTGGAGGGGACAGGTGGATGGGGCGGGATGGGGGGGTGTCCAACCAGCTACAGTCAAGCCAATCCTGGGCAGCTGTGGGAGACGACAGACCCCCTTAATCAACTACCACCAAGCCAGCGCTCTCACTCCCTCCTCCAAGAAGCCTGGGCTGCCGGAGGTCACAGGGGTTATCTTCAGCTGCCCGTTTGTGCAACTCACAAGCCACCTCAGGTGGGAACCCCAGCAGGTTCTGTGATTTCGCTGCTGGCACCAGCCACTCAACTAGACAGAGACCTCTCGGAACCAAGGGCTGCCTTCCAGGTGCCTGGTGCCACCACCCCAGAGTTAATGTCCACGCACGGCTGATGGGGACAGTGATGATGCTGTCTAGATCAGGACTCACCGAGCCAGACAGACAAAGAAAAGGATATAGGAAAACCTTCCAGAGAAACAAGTTCTTCCTCCAGCTCAAGAAAGAAGCCAGCCCCCTGGATCACAGAATTTCACCGAGGCTGGTGTTTCAGAAATGGGATGGAGGGGCCTCCCTGGTGGCGCAAGGGGTTAAGCACCACATTATGAGGCAATCCACAGCCTCTGTAGCACAAGTTTGATCCCTGGCTACCCACATGGCACAGCAGACCTCTCCTGATTCACCCGCTGCTCCCCTCAGCAGTGTATTTCAGTCAGTCTGCCTGTTCTGTTCCCTACTCTGTCTCTGGTGAATCCTTTCACGCCCCCCTCACACTTCTGGCCTGTACCCCAGCTCTTGTATGCATAAATAAATCTTAAAAAAAAAAAAAAAAGAAAAAAGAAAAGAAACGGGATGGAACCGGAGGACAATACTGTCATCTGTTTTGGGGAGAGTCAACCCTGCCCAGACAGACTCCAGCATCACACACCATCCTACCCTCTGGGGGTTGCCCCTGGAATAGAACAAGCCCTGGGGGATTGGGGTGCGAGGTGTAGGTTCCCCCTGTGCCCATCACTTCTAGGTAGGTGAACACCAGGGGAGCAGCCAGAGGAATCTGTGTACAGGAGGCTGAGAACACCTGCCACCTGCTCCAAGACCAGGGCTACCAGCTTGCTCCATGGCTGACCCAGAGGGCACGAGGCCTGGAGCTGACAGTGCTGGCCCAGCCCACAGCTCCCTCTTCCAGACCTATAAGATCTCGTGGCAGGAAGATCAAGTCAATAAATATTGTCTAAGCCCTTGGTACATGTCAGGCTGTGCCAGCAGCCAAGGACACCGAGATAAAGTGGGACAGAGTGTGTCCACACAGTGTAGTGCACAGGACAGCAGGGCTTCTGTGGGGCTGAGGGGGGCCTGTGGAGGGCTTCCATGGAGAAAGTGATGCCTAAACTGGGTCTGGAAGAAAGAAAAGCAGGAGTTTGCCAGGAAAAGGATGGAGAGCATTTTTGGGCAACAGCCTAAACAGAGGGTGGGGCCTGTGCCTACCCTCTGAAGCCTTGAGAATTACTAGGGGTAAAGGCGTGGGCAGGGGAGGCCAGGGCTATGGGGTGGTGGCAGTAGTGCAGACAGGAGACCAAGGTTCTCCTCCCGGACAGGCTTTGTCACGGGCAAGGTGGCCTCTGCAGAGGCCGGAGTGGCTGGGAGCGGGGCTGGGCCCCCAGCTGCTTACCTCCAGCTGATTCCACAGCTGCGTTTGGAGTCTGACTGGGGAGCTGGTCCCTAACCACAGAGAGGGTGCCCGACAGGGCTCAGCAGGTTGGGGCAGAGCCCAGCAAAGAGCAAACAAACGAAATTACACACCCCTGGGCAAGACGTGGAAGGCTGGCTGGGAGCCCACCCCGGTTAGCCAACGGGTGACCTGGACCATGCTTTGTCCTTTATTCACAGCTCCCCAGAGTCTGCTTTTCCAGCCTAGACATAGTACCTCCTGGGAGCAGGTCACAGTCATGTACCCCAAACCAGAGCTGCTCCCCTCTCCCTCTGGTCGAGGATCTCCCAGGGCAGCACAAAGAGGGACAGTCCAGCACAGACACTCAATCAACCCCCAGGGGATGGGACGTGGCCTACCACATGCTTCTCCTTCAGGTCCATGGGCCCAGTGCGCGGCAGGCATGCCCAGATGAGCGCAGTCACCCCCAACAGGCAGGCTCCTCCCCAACATCGACAGACCCCAGTGACTCAATCACAGTCACAGCATCTGGGGAAAAAAGAAAACATAGGCCGTGAGTCTGGGGGACTGGGAGGGGTCCCCATTGTGAAACACACTGTAAACAATAGAGCTGTGCTTGGCCTGGCCAGCAGTGTCCTAGCCGCAAGCCCCCAGCTGTGGGGTGCCCAGTGTTCCCTCTTAACCCTAAGTTTCGGAGGCACTTGTGTCCTGTTGCACACACACGCTTTTACTCACTCACTCCCCTCAGGCAGGAAAAGTCTTGGACTGCCAGCTTTGTTATGTGGAGGTCAGCATTAAGGTAGACTAGAGTGTAGCCACGACTGGAAGGAGCAGAAGGCGGGGAGAGCAGGAGAGATGAGTGCAGGGAGAGGCGTGCTTGTGCTCACGCCTCGGCCACCCCAGGGTAAGAGCACCCTACACGCCAACACAAGCACGCCACAGACAGATCTCCTGCATGGTTGCCGGGGCACAGCTCAGCAAACACCTGGGTAGGTGTCCGCACAGGTTGGCAGGCCGATCCGACAACAATCTGAGAATGAGGATTAGCCCACTCCCCACGGCCACCCCCACCCTCCCCACACAACTGGACCCTCTCCCATCCAACCTGGCCGCCAACACACCCCTGTGACTTCAGACCAGGGCATGTAACGAGTGATACTACTGAGTAATCTGGTTTGGGGCCAGATGAGACTCTGTGGAAAGCACTAACCTGCTGACTATGGCAGTTCTTTGAGAGGCCTGCAGCTAAGCCTCCTTAAGAGGAGCTGGTCAGAAGCCCAGGAGAGCTGATCCATAAAGGAACAGTCTAGAAAAAATTAAAAAAAAAAAAAAAGGCTATGTCCAGAGGACCCTAGCCAGGAGGCCCAGGCTCTGCAGCCAGCAGCTCCACTCCAAAAATCCCATCTGATTCCTCCCAAGGCAGTCCCAGTGCCAAAGTCCCAGACCTGAAGGGCTCTCCTCCCTACCCCTGCCTTTCCAGCTGGGGCTGTCACAGTGGAGCTAGCCCTGCAGGGTCAGAGACTGTCACATTGGAAGCAGCCTCCGGGTGACTTTCAGTCTTTGGAGGCCACGGGGTCCTAGGAGGCCGATCCTTTTCTCCCCGAGGCCATGCTGCCTCAGGCTGCCAGTCCCTGTTTACCAGTATGCCTCAAGGTCCCCATGACACCACATCCCAGCAGGGGCTGGGATGAGGTAGTTACCACAGGGAAAGGCACCAGGGGACAGAAAGAGATGGTGGCTTAACTCCTGCCAACATGAGAGTGAAATAATTCTGTGGCCAGCTGGAACCCGGTGGTTCAGAAGGAGCCAGAACCCAGGCATTTTTCTAAGCCTTTGTTCTCCCACCACTCCATACATGGGATTCTGGGAGAGGGCTGTCCTTAACAGCCTGGTCAGAAACTAGTAGCTGCACTCATAAAGGGCCAGTTCTTTCTCCTGGCCCATTATCTTCAAAGTCAAATACCCCTAGGTATAAATCCTGGCTCCATTGGTATTGAATGTCAATGACCTTGACCATCATTTGTCCCCCTGAGCCTCAGTGTCCTGGTTCATAGAATGTGAGCAATGATACCTATTGATCAGGGGTGCAACAAGAATGATATAAAATATTATATAAAGAGGATCCAGTACAGTATTTGGCAAACAGCATGTCTTAATAAACAGCTGCCATTACTATTATCAGCAAACAAGAAATATGTATATAGTGTCATCTACATCAAAAATGAGGAGTAAGGAGAAGAAACATAAATGAAAGGCATAACATTGTAGAGAAATTAAAACTATTTGCAGAAGACTAGATTGTATAAGTAGAAAATTCTAAAAATCTACAAATAAGATATTAGCACAAATAAG